TCTGGTCTGCGAGATGTCTTCACTCTTCCAAGAGTTTTACTCCGGGCACCGATCCCCTCACATCCCATACAAGCTCCTACACCTTGTGTGGACCCATGCCCGGCACCTGGCAGGCTATGAACAGCAGGATGCCCACGAATTCCTCATTGCGGCCCTGGATGTCCTCCACAGACATTGCAAAGGTTGAGGCCTGCTGCTGAGATGATATATTTCTATATAAATACTAGTTTATTTACAAAGTTATTATACATTGTTTTTTACACTGGATCTTTCCCATTTCCTTCACCCGCCCTCAGCCCATCAAATTGTGTGACCCTATAATTAACCATCCTCCACCCCCCACCCATCCTCACCCCTCTGCTCCCCCCCCACTTCTCATACTCATGCTACAATAATGGTTTTATACAATATTTATCCTAATGCTCCCTAGTCCCTCCCAAGTTAAGTAGTGATTTACAAAATCATTATTCCTGCATGCTGTGTTTTTTGTTGTTGTTGTTGTTTTAATAAATTTTTGTGTGTGTGTGTACTGTCAAATCGGATCTGACTGGTACAGGAGGAGATTGCCCCTCCTTCTCCAGCAGAGCATCTGGTGCATTCAAACCATGTACCTCTGAGATTGCGTATGCTGTGTTAAGTGGTGATTTACAAAATCATTATTCCTGCATGCTATGTAGTATTCCATTGTGTAAATACCATAATTTCTCAATCCATTCCATTGTGGTTAGACATTTGGGCTGTTTCCATGTTCTTGCGATGGTGAATTATGCTGCTATAAATACTGGTGTACTAGTCTCCATTTGTGCATCAGTTCTCATTCTCTTGGGGTATATTCCAAGCAGTGGTATAGCTGGGTCATGTAGAATTTCTATATTTTAAACATTTTGTCCCATGAAATCAAGATCCTTCTGGTAGTCCTTTCTTCATAAGCTTAAATAATGCTGGCAGCTACTTACAGAAGGCCTAATGGTCTTTTTTTATTTCTCTATAATTAGCTTTTTTTTACATGTTTTATAGAAGTAATCGAAGTCACTCACCCTCTTCCCATTCTTTAGTTGGGTGAAAAGTATGTGAGTGTAATACATTTTCCATTCAAACTTCCAACCTGCAAGTTCAGTGGTTGACTAAGCTGTTTACACAATCCATTTTTCTCAGTGTGATATTATACATTATATATTACAAATTGTATTTTCTATAGTCTTGTTACTTAAATTTTATATTCATGCACCAACCCATATCTAAATAGTAAAATATGTATTAAACTAGAGAGAACTGAGGTAATAACTTCTCTAGGTACAACTGACTTGAAAACTTGAAAGAATTCAGGAGCTGGAAAGCAAACAGATTCTTAGTTAACTGCTGTAGCTGTGTTGAGACAGCCAGTCTTAAAGCATGCCTCTGTCTAATACAGGGAGGGATGTGGCTGCTTCACCAGGTGTACTGGACATGCAGTGTAATTCTTCAAGTGAAAAAGGGAGTAACTCTCCTCCATGACTGGGCATTAGATGCACTTCTGTGTCAACTTACTTATAAGTTAAGGATACCATTTTAGGCACCAGGAAAAAAGAAGAACATTGAAATCCAAGTAGTTTGATTTTTCGTCGCAATATAATAAACTATCTGGTCCACAACTGCCTCATAAGGTTCTTTGTTTAAATGGCAAATATCAAATACCCTACTATTGTCTTTATTGCTGGAGAAGGATGGACAGTTTCCTGTGCAGTTTACTGCCTCTAAAAACCCCCAGGAAGTCAGCTGTGGACCAGTTCTGACTCGATGTCACACATTATTATTATTGTCTTTATCATACATCTGCTGAGTAAGCTTGCTTTCTGATTTGTGTTCTTCCCTGGACTCTGGCCTAGGTGATGATAATGGAAAGAAGGCCAACAACCCCAACCACTGCAATTGCATCATTGACCAGATCTTTACAGGTGGGCTGCAGTCGGACGTCACCTGCCAGGTCTGCCAGTAAGTGTATCCTCTAACTGCGGAAACACTGGTGGTTCCACTAGATTGTCATAGAGTATCTAGTCTGGGCCAACTGGGCCCACTTCCTAGGGCCTTGATCCTTTCTGTCTGTGTGACTGATGTCACTGTGAACCTTGTTTTCTCATCTTAATGTCTTTTCCAGCGTACAACAAAAACAAAGATGTGTGTATCCTTGTAGAGATGTGGTAGAAGAGACACGAGAAGTGGACATTTGAGTGCTGATGGCTTTCCACAATGGTGGGCTCTCCCTTGGCAGCCTGTGGGCTGAGAGCAGCAACAGAGGCAGCTGTGGTCAGGCCTGTCTAACGCTGTCCAAGGCTCACCGGGCGTACTGTGAGGCTACCTACAAATTTCTCCTCTTTCCTTATAGCTTTTGATTCCAGGAACCAAGTGAAAGAGCTGCTTTTCAGGGACAGGAATATAGACTCGGGGTTTTCAACATTTGACACTTCTTTTTGCTGAACTTTAAAAAAATGCAGGATTTAACCTCTGTTAAAAGAGAACATTGAAACCCAACTTTTTCTTTTTTAATAGGGAAAAAATACTAATTTTTGACTTGTTTTTTTTTTTTTGCCTTTTTGAAGTAAAGTAGACTGAGAATTTTCCTGATAGAATTTTAGAATAACAACTTTTTTAAAGTATTTAAAAAGTGGTTTAAAAAAAATTTTATTATTAATTTTAATGAACATTTACAGAGATTTTGGATTTCCATTCATTCATTGTTAAACTTTTTTCTCTACACCCCCCCCTTCACTCCTCTCTTCGAAAAGCAAAAGAGAAAGTTGTTTTTAAAATTCCTTTGTATTTCCGGTAGACTCTGTTTTTACTCGTTTATGCCTTCTCCCTTTCTCCTCATGGAAGTCCGTGCAGCCTAATTCTGTTTGTGGAGAAGGGCACACCTCAGTCTTGGGTGGTAAAGGTCTCCTTGTCCATTGTCTCTGTGGTGGTGTTTGACCAAAATGTTTGGTTTTGTGTACTGTAGAATCGGAACCGACTTGTAGATGCCCCTCCATTGGTTTTTCAGAGACAGTAAATCACATGGGAGGAGATTATGCCTATCTTTTTTCCAGCAAAGCAGCTGGCTGGTTGACACCATGTGCTTTTGGGATTGCAGCGTAGATTCTAACATTAGATCTCTGCCTGCAGGTTTTTTTCAGACAAGGTGATGAGATGGTCCTTGTCACAGTGCTTTTCCTTTTACAGGTTTTGTTTGGGGCCATAGCCATCCACTGTTTATATGACCCCTTATAACATTGGCCTTAAACAACTGAACTGAGTAGCAGGGAACTGTCCCAGAGCTATGCAATTTTCTTGTTTATAAAACTGGATTTCTAGGTAAGAGTAGACTTTGTTGGAGAGAGTGCAGAGTTCATCTGCTCAGTACAGATGCTGTGCCTAATCCATAAATACTGAGTTGATGTGTTGGAGCCTGAATTTATATCACCTGGACAGTCTCTGGACATTGGGCCTGGGAATTTTCACTTTTCACACAATCTCAGTTTATGGTGGAATCTTTCAGGTTTTGAGGCTGTTTTGTTAGGACAGCCCTCGCTCTTGTTTGCAAATTTGTCCCATCACAGATCTCTAGTTGAGATCCATGGATGAGCTGAGTGGAAGTATCCGTGATCAGGCAGTGCAGCCCACTGGGGGTCTGACTTCAGGCTGCATTTGGACAAAAGATCAGGGTGTTGGAATACTGTTTACCACCACCACCAGCTGGCTCTGGCCTCCATATAGAACTTAAGTGAATTGTTAGTTTTAACATGTGTTCATATTTCCTTTTGCTTTTAGTGGGGTCTCTACAACCATCGACCCATTCTGGGACATTAGCTTGGATCTACCCGGCTCTTCCACTCCCTTTTGGCCTCTCAGCCCAGGGAGTGAGGGCAGTATGGTGAATGGGGAAAGCCACACATCAGGTACCACCACGCTTACGGATTGCCTGCGGAGGTAAACAGGAAGGAGGGTGCTGCTGCTCTGTGGTCTCTCTCTGTGCTGAGATTGTTTAGGAATAGTGGTTAATTATTAAGTAGTCTTAAATTCAGAACCAAACCAGGATCCCAGTAGGATTTTCTTTCATATGTTCTTTCTATGTTGTTGTTATGTGCCCTTGAATTGGAACTGATTCGTAGCTGACCCACCAGTGGGTTCTCAGAGGTTGTAAATCACCTGGGAGGAGGTTGCCCATTTCTCTCCTACCGAGCAGCTAGTGGATTTGAACTACTTGCCTTTGGGTTGATAATATAACTCTTTACCCACTAGGCCACCAGAGGTAAAATGTAACCTAAACTTGTAAATAGCTACAGTGGATGACATTCAAGAGTCTGATGCTAAGGTGTCACCTGGTTGTATGAAGATATACTTTGTTCTAAGCTGCAGGCCATCTTTATCATAACTGTTTTGACTTCCTAATGCTGTTAGAATGGAAATCATAGGCTATTAACTATAGGGAGAATTCATTTTTTAGTCTTTTTTCTGATTCTAATAACCACCATGTACAATGAAATGTGCGAGGAGCTAGAGTCGGAAAATCAAAACGGCCGAACTCACTCAGCATTTCTTAAGCTCAAGGAACTGAAGAACAAATTCAAACCTAGAGTTGCTATAATCAAGGATGTTTTAGGCAGAATGTTAAATGATCCAGGAGGTATCAAAAGAAGATGGAAGGAATATACTGAGTCATTGTACCGAAAGGAATTGGCAGATACAGAAGAATTGAATGAAATAGCATTTGAGCCAGAGCCTACAGTGATGAAGGAAGTAGTTCAAGCTGCTTTGAAGGAAATAGCAAAAAACAAGGCCCCTGGAATAGATGGTATACCAATTGACATATTTCAGCTAACAGATGCTGCCGTGGATGTGCTCACCAAGTTGTGCCAAGACATCTGGAGAACAACCACTTGGCCAACTGACTGGAAGAGGTCAATATTTGTTCCCATCCCAAAGAAGGGCGACCCAACTGAGTGTGGAAACTACAGAACAATATTATTGATTTCACATTCAAGCAAGATTCTACTGAAGATTATCCAAAAACGACCGGAACAGTACATGAGCAGAGAACTGCCAGAAGTCCAGGCTGGGTTTAGAAGGGGTCGTGGTACTAGGGATATTGTAGCTGATGTTAGATGGATCTTAGCTGAAAGCAGAGAATACCAGAAGAATGTCTGTCTGTGTTTCATTGATTATGCAAAAGCATCTGACTGCGTGGATCATAACAAACTGTGGCTGACTCTGAGAAGAATGGGAATCCCAGAACATTTAATCGTGCTAATGTGAAACCTATACTTGGACCAAGAGGCAGTCGTCAGAACAGAGCAGGGTAACACTGCATGGTTCAAAATTGGGAAAGGTGTATGTCAGAGATGTGTCCTATCTCCATACCTTTTCAACCTGTATGCAGAGCAGATTATCCGAGAGACTGGGCTCTATGAATAGAAGCATGGCATTAGGATTGGTGGACGATCTATCAATAATCTGCGTTATGCAGATGATACAACCTTGCTCGCTGAAACTGAGGAGGACCTCATGCACTTACTGCAGGGGGTCAAGGACTGCGGCCTTCAGTATGGACTGAGGCTCAATGTCAAGAAAACAAAGATTCTCACCACTGGACCAATTGGTAGCATCAGGATGGATGGCGAAGAAATTGAGATTGTTCACAGCTTCAGTGTGTTTGGCTCCACAGTCAACACTCTTTGCACCAGCAGTCAGGAATTCAAGAAACGTATTGCGATGGGAAAGTCTGCTGTTAGGGACCTCTCTAAAGTACTCAGAAGCAGTGCTGTCTCTCTGGAGACTAAGATGCGCCTGATACGGGCCATGGTCTTTGCAATCACTTGTTGTGCATCAGAGAGTTGGACAATGACTAGGGAGGACAGAAGGAGAGTTGATGCCTTTGAGCTGTGGTGCTGGAGAAGAGTATTGAATGTACCATGGACTGCCAAGAAAACAAACAGATTCATCCTGGAGAGGATTAAACCAAGCAACTCCTTGGAGGCAAGGATTCTGGGGCTTTGTCTGACATACTTTGGGCATGTTGCAAGGAGGGACAGGTCCTTGGAGCGGGACATCATGCTTGGGAGGATAGAGAGACGGCGCAAGAGGGGAAGACCCTCTATGAGATGGATTGATTCAGTGACTGGGGTAATTGTGATGGGTGTGTCAGAGGCAGTGCGATTGGCACAGGATAGAGCAGGGTTTGGGGCTGTTGTACATAGGGTCGCTGTGAGTCGCAAATGACTAGACGGCACATAACAACAACAATAATAACCACTTGAATGGTAATTAGGTACTAGTTCTGAGTTTGTAGACTTACCTGCCTCCAGTACATAGATGTCAACTCAGCGGCACCTGGCATTTGTCTTTGTCTCTCCTTGCTTCCCTGCCTCTGTGCTTCTAGAGCTCAGCAGCTGTTTAGTTAGGTTCAGCGTCCCATTTATACTGATGAGGTCGAATTAACATAGCAGAGACCCCTACTCCCAAGTGGGATTACATGCACAGTCTAATAATAGAGGTTAAAATTTCAGCATGTATTTTGAGAGATTGTTTACGTCATAACATTCCAGCCTTGGTTCTCCCTCACCGCTCAAAAAAACCACAAACATGTCCTTGCTGTATGCAAAACACACTCATTTTTTCACATCATCCATTCTGTATCTAGAATCTCATCTTCTGAGTATCTAAATTAAAAATGGGTAGGACTCTGGGAATATTCTACCGTAGGGCAAAATTCTTTTACATCCATATATTTGTGAAACTAGAGTACAAGTTATCCACTTCCGAAGCGCAGTGTTCTGCCATGTGGCACAAGGTAGACTTTTCCAGTTCCAAGGGAGAGATACAGCAGGTGCACAGCCAGAACAACAGCTCTCATCACTGGACTTTAAAACAGTCCTCTGTTATATGATACTCTTCTGTTTCTGGTAACATTAGTTGTTGGGGTTCCTGTACAGGGCTCTCTGATTGAAGGCCTGCAGGCGTAAGCTTTAGTCACAGACTTAATCACTTTAACAAAACATCACGGATCTAGGCCTCACAAGCGACCCGCCTTATGGCAGCAAGACTTACTGTTTCTTTTCTTTACTTGGAGAATTTTGTCTCAGTGGCCTGCTACAAGGAAGTACCTTTCTTGGGTTTTGAGGAATTCAACCAGGCTGTAGAGCAACACAATGGCAATACGATTTTTGCTTACTTTACTGGTTCTAAGGACACCAAAGGGAAAAGCTGGTGAGCTGACTGCAAGCTGTTCAAGAGAGCCTGAAGTGCATTAATGAAGGATGTGGTTTCATCTACTAGCAAGTAGGAGAAAAACCTTACTGGAAAGATCCCAGCAGTTGGCTTTAGAAAAAAGCAGAAGTAATCACAGTGCTTACACTATTTAAATATGGAGCACCTCAGAAACTAGTTGAATCTGAGTGTCTTCAGGTCAGCCTTATGGAGATGTTCTCTGAAGATTAAGATTTAATGATGACAGTGATATCTTAATCTTTCTCTAGAAACAGAACAGTGTACCTGCTTATTAAATAAACAATAAATGGTAAAAGATAAAACAAAAACAAAAAAACACATTATGTATCTAAGCCCTTAGGAAAGTTTGCCAGAGTTTTAGATTAATTTTGTACCATTCATTTTTAAGTCTGTCTCTTTATTCCTGCATTTCACTGTACCTCAAACCTCATTGCTGTCATGTTGGACTGACTGAAGGCTGCTGGAATTCCAGGGCTGTAACATGCATGGAAACAGAGTGCCCATCTTTCTCCTGAAGAGCTTTTGAATGTTAGTGGATCCAGAAGAGCTGAGAAATCACACTGCCTCATAGAGTTTCTCTTAGAAATCTCCTCAGCCAAAAACACAGGTGTACCATTTACAAGCTCTACTTTCCTGCCAAACACTGAGCAAATTCAAACAAGTTCTTGTCACTTTAGAAATGACCCTTCCCTGGTTTTCCAATAACCTATTTAGTAATTACTATTAAAGCCTTACCAGAAGACTGTATAATGACCACAGTTACAAATAACCATTAATAAATAGGTTTATTTATAAATAAGTAGGTTTGATACACAGTGTGTCATTACTTAGTGAATCTTTTCTGATTATTTTAAAATAGTTCATTTAGTAACTTTGAAAAAAATTGGTAAATATATTTATAACACAAATCTTGTAAGTTGTGTGTTCAACTTTATCATGGCTTTAAATCTTAAGACAGTCGTGAGATCGGTGAGCTATCATTACAAGACCTCTGAAATCTTGAACAGGATATGCTCATTAATCTTTGTTACCTGAAAAATAAATTTCAGCTGTTCAGTGAGCCTGATCACTTAGCTATACTTACGTGAAAGTAGACGACCACCTTTCAAAGTTAGTTGTAGTTCAAGGCAAAAAGTTCATAGAACCCTGTGAGCAATGGATCTGAACTTTTTCCTATTCTGTGTCATTCGCAGCATCTCTCATACACTTGAGCCCATTGTTGATACATTAATTTCTTAAACTGATTTTCAACTTTCTAAGCATGATGTCCTTCTCCAAGGGCAGGTCCCTCCTAACAACTTGCACAAAGTATCTGACATATTATCTGTTGTTATCCTCTAAGGATCACCCCGGTTTCACTTCAAGGACAGACCTATTTGTTCTCTTGGCCAACTGTGGAATACTTAGTACTCTTTCTCTGATACCACAGTTCAAAGGCATTGATGATTTTTCTGTCATCTTTAGCCATTGTCCAGTTTTCAGATGCATAGCAAGCAGTTGAAAAGACTACGGCCTGAATCAGACAGACCTTAGTCTTCAAACTGACATCTTTGCTCAATAGTTTAGAGAGGTCCCTGACAGCAGACTTTCCTAATGCAGTACATCTCCTAACTGCTGCTACCAAGCATATTGATTGTGGATCCATGTAAGACAAAATCATTGACAGTATCGATTTTTTGCTCCCTCTGTTAGGATGTTGTCTGTTGGCCCAATGGTGAGGATTTTTCTTTTCTTGATGTTGGAATGTTTCCTATAATGAAAGCAGTACTCCTTGATCTTCTGAGCATGTGTTTCAAGCCTTCTGCACTTTTCAGCAAGCAAAGTTTTGTTAACTACATTGTTAATGAGTCTGCCTTCATTCCTGACCCACATTCTTCATAATTTCCATGTTCTTAAATGATTTGTTCAGAATGCAATTTGAATATTTATGGAGAATAGATAGAACTCTGATGCACACTTTTTCTGATTTTTAAAACCGTTCAACGTTCAGGATTTCCTTCATCTGTTTGCCTGATAGCCATTTTGTATGAGTACAATTAAATGTTTTGGGATTCTCATTCTTTCCAATGTTAGCCTTAATTTGTTGTGATACACATAGTCAAATGCCTTTGTGTAGACCATAAACACAGATAAACATATTTTTAATATTCTCTGCTTTCCACCAAGATCTGTCATGAACAATGGTTATCCCGGATACCATTGCCTTTATAAATCTAGCTTGAATTACCAATAGTTGTACTATTCTAACCATTTTTTACTAATCTTTAGCAAGATTTTACTCACATGTGATATTAATGAAATGTTCAGTAATTTCCATGGTCTTTTGGATCACATTTTATAGGAATGGGAATAAGTATGAGTTTCTTGCAGTCAGTTGACCAGGTGACTCTCTTCCATACTTAGCATAGCCTGGTGAGCACATCCAAGACTGCTGATGTGTTAATTCTGGTGATTGGAAAAGTGATACACAGTTGGCACAACATGACTAATGTAAAGGAAGGTACTGAGTGGTGTGCAGGGATAATGAACAACTGTAGTAGATACTTAAGTGTCTACGGTCCTGCAACATCAGTAATAAAACGATCTGTGAGTGCATGCTTAGGAAGATATGTTTGTTAAATAGTTATTGGAGATCAGACATGATTACAGCTACATTCATATGAAGGCATATCATGCTTGGAAAAGTAGATGATCAGCAAAAGACTGTCCAGGTGGATTGACAGAGTGACTGCAGAAATGGATGTGAACATGGCGCCCATTTCCCACTGCCACCCTTCTCTTCATCTGAATCCACGCATGAAGTTCTGGTCTGTTGTTGCAGTCTTTGCCTGGTATCCTTGTTAATTGCCTGTGACTCATGGAGATTGAACAACAGATAAAACTTTGTCCTGTCCTGCACCAGCCTCACAGTCTTCTCTGTGTTAATGCCTACTGTTGCACTTCCTCAAGGATAGATTTGATCTTTTTATTGCTGCTTTACATGCCCTCAAGTTAACTACAGCTTAGCAGCCCAGTGAACAGCAGATTGGAACCTTGTCTTGTCCTACTTTCTTACCATCTCCTGTGGGCTTAAGTCCTTTGTTAGTTATGTCATCAAGCTTGAGATTCTTCTCTGTTTCTGACCCTCCACCTTTCTGCACATGATGCCTTTTTCCAAGGAACAGCCCTTCATGGCAACATAACCATTGTGAGTGAAAAGTTTCACCCTGGTATGCTTCTTCCAGAACACAGTTGTTCTCTTTGCCAGCACCACAGTTCAGCTTGTGTCATCCATATTCTCTTAACTTTCAAATACATAGGAAGCAATTGAAAATGCCTTGGGTGCTTATAGATCCAAGAATATCTAAGTCCTTGACAATTTCAGTTATTTTCTCCATCTGCGAGTTGGTCCAGTGATTAGGACTTTTGTTTTCTTGATGTTGAGATGTTATCTGAAGGCTGTGGTCTTTGATCTTCAGCAAGTGCTTTGGGTTTTTCTTACTTTCTGCAAGCAAAGTTGGCAACTTCAGTCTGCACAGTGCCAGTTGTTGATGAGTAGCACAGGTGGTTAAATGCTATGCTATGCTATTAACCAGTCTAGGTGGTGTGAGACATGGGGGCACCATGAGTTAGAATCCATCCAGTGGCACCTAGTTGTATATGGACATATAACCACATTTGTCCACTCATCTGTTGGACTTTTGATTTCTTAACTATAGTAAACAGTGTTGTGGTGAACATTGGTGTATTAGTATTTTAGACCTTTCTTTCATATCTTAAGGAGTTATAACCAGGAATAAAATTGCTGGGTTGTATAGTATAATTCTGTATAACTTTATGAAGAACTGCAACTTTTTTATTACATTAACACTATAGCATTTTATGTTTCTACCAGCAATGGAGTAGAGTTTGTTTTTCCACATTTTGTCAAACTCTCAAACTCAGTCTTTTCAAGTCAGAGCCAACCCATAGTTGTTGTCATTGGCTTTTTAGAAGCTGAATTGAATGGGAGGAGACTACCCTTCTGTCTCACAGTGCTTTTTTTTTTTTTTAATTCTTTTTTCTAAAATAGTAACCATCCCATTTGGTATGAAGTATTAGCTTGTGGTTTTGATTGGCATTTTCCTGGTGACTGATACTTAGAATCATATCACCTTGTGCTTATTGATCATTTTTTAATCATCTTTGGAGAAATAACTATTCAGATCTTTTGCCAGTTTTCTGTAAATTCTTTTCTCACTGTTACAGCAAAGCTCTTTGGCACATAAAAGTTTTATTTTAGATGAAGTCACACTTGTCTTTTGTAGCTAATGCTTTTGGTTCCATATCAACAGCTCCATTTGTCAAAAATTCAATTTTCAAGCTTTACTTCTTATGTTTTCTTTAAGATTTTTATGGATTTTGTTCTTACAGTTACTTAATTTTGTATTGGTTCATTTGTTTCTGGGTCCCCTCATTTTTTCTTTTGAGATCCAGTTATCCTTCTGCCATTTACTAATGAGACTATTCTTTACCTGTGAACTATCTTAAGTGCCATCTTAGAAATCAAATATTAGTACCTGGTGGCATTGTATAGTGCATCTCACTGCTAATTGAAAGGTTGACAGTTTGAATCCAAGTGCAGCTCCATATAAGTTAGTCTGGCTGTAAGGTTTGTGGCCTCAGGAACCAATACAACAGCAGCAGGTTTGATTTTTAATATCAGTACCGCACTATTTTGATTATTCAGCTTGATAGTATTTTTAAATTGGTAGAGCTCCTTCATAGAGAGTGATCAGTTGGCCTATGGACAGAAAGTGATTGCTACCAAGCCAGAGGTGGGTGACTTTTAATCCCTGGCCCTCAGGCCTGTTTTTCATTGTTTTTGTTCAAACATTCTTCTAGGTTGTATAGCCCTGGTGTGCTCACTTGCTGTATAGTAATAACTTGTGGTTGCTGTCAAGCTGAACACTGACACTGATGTGTCAAATGTGCTAATGGTTACCCATGGCAGACAGTGTGGGGCGGAGCTTCCCGATTAAAACAAGTTTGGAAACAGGAGTGGCATCCAATAGCTTACCTCCGGAAACCCTATGGAGAAAAGATGAAAGTCACATAAGTGTTGAGTACTTAAGTTCATAGGGTCATTATGAGTTGCCTATGACTCAACGGCACGTAACAACAACAAATCTCTTTCAATATTCTGAGGCTTTGCCTAACATACTTTGGACATCGTGCTTGAGAGGGTGGAGGGACAGCGCAGGAGAGGAAGGCCGTCTATGAGGAGGATTGATTCAGTGACTGGGATAATCGGGATGGGTGTATTAGAGAGTGCGATTGGCACAAGACAGAGCAGAGTTTAGGGCTGTTGTACATAGGGTCGCTATGAGTTGCAGGAGACTCGACGGCACATAAGAACAACTATTGGACCCTTGTCATTAATTGAGAACTGCTTTTCTGCCATTTTTTGTTTTCATGTACATTGTGTTTATAAATAATCTTTCATATATGTTGTGTTTCATTCATCAGGTACATGATGTTTAACACAGTCATTTGTGTACATTGTATTTTGTATATAATTAAATACTATTGCTCTGTACCGTTTTTCACTCCATCTTAAGTCTCTGCTGCATCTTTCCTATACCTTCATTACCACCATTTCCCCCTAATATGCTATCCTAGTCATTTTTGTCTCTCCTCCTAGTTTTCCCTTCAGAAGAGTTATACCTATCTTGTTCCTATTTGTTAATTGCAATACTTGTATCGTATGTATATCATCTCTTTCCAGGTTGAACCTCCCTTATTCTGGTTTTTCAGTAGTGTTCATTGTATGGGCATTGCTTTTCTATTCTACTACTTCTCCCTTTTTTATTGTTTAAGGCATTACATTTTTGATAGGAATTGTGTTAAATACATACATAACTTTACATGTGTTTAATTTTCATTGTGCAAGTCTTCCACTGTTCTTGTTAAATTTATTCCCAAGAGTTAAATTTATTTCTTGGAATTTTATTCTTTTAGATATGTTGTAAATGGTATGGTCTTAATTTCTTTTTCAGATTGTTCATTAGTTAACGTAAAGAAACAACTGAGTTTTTTATATTGATGTACTCCTGTGACTACTGACTCTTTATTAAATTTTTAAATACCTTATAGGTTTACTAGACCGGAGCACTTAGGGAGCAGTGCCAAAATCAAGTGTAGTGGTTGCCATAGCTACCAGGAATCTACTAAACAGCTCACCATGAAGAAATTACCAATCGTTGCCTGTTTCCATCTTAAAGTAAGTTGTCCTGTAAAGATATTGTAATGACAGCTGTGGATTTTAGTCCATGTACAGAGTGTAGGCAGTTTATCACTGTAGCACAGTTTATCATTCAGAGTAATTTTCTTATTCTCACTGTTGTGATTTGAGTGAAAATTTATAAACCAAATTGGTTTTCCTTACAACTGTTTTCTAATGTTAACTACAATAGCCATGATATAATTGTACTTTTCCGTTTTTTCCACGTGATCTTCATTTCCTTTAATCCTTCTATCCTGCTTTCCCTGCCTTCTAAACTTTGTGCTTGGACAAATGCTACTTTTAAAAAAAATTATTATTAAATTTTATTAGTTTTAATGAACATTTACAGAGATTTTGGGTTCTCATTCATTCATTATTGCACTGTTTTCTCTATCCTCCCAAGTTCGTTCTTCTCTCCCCACCCAATGTCTGTTTTAATTGTCCAATTGCCACAGTGCTTGTCAAAGCCAGTTCTGATCAATCTCTTTTGTCAGTGTGTCCTTTCCCATTCCCTATCACTCCTCCCTGAGAGAGACATCACCTTGATTCATAAGGAAAAGGGGATGGCGTATTCTCTTAGCTACTTCCTGCTGAAAAGGGATGCTGT